AATCTCTAATAGCGAAGATTTTTTTTTTCTGAGTTATGATTTTTTATAGAAAATATAACTTTTTGTGGTACATACCAGGGTTGTTGCGAATATTCGCATTCGCATTCGCAACCGCGGAGCTTCCGCATTAATTTTAACATTCGCATTCGCTTTCGCATTCGCAAAAAGCAATGCGGATCTTTTGCGAATGCGAATATTGAATGGACCGAAAATTACAGTTATTTTGTTTACGAGTTAAACTTGGCCAAATATTTTTCGATCCGAAATAGACCAAATTAATAGATCCAAATTAAACAAGTTTGGTATCGAATGAAAGAGGAGGGAAATAGCTTTAAAACTGAAATCTCGAAACGAGGAAAGCCACACATTGAAAAATATTTCAATAAAAAATGTTAATTAATTACCATAGAACAAACATTGGGTCAGGTATGTATTTACATGAATTTCTTTAGTATTAAGTTATAAAAAAATTTAAATAGAGGTGGTAACCTTCATTCGTTATCTCTGTTTAAAAGCTATTTCAGTCCTCTTTCATATGATACCAAATTTGTTTAATTTGGATATTTGGTTATTTTTGGTCCCTGGAATATTGTGCAAGTGCACAGACGTATATCGAACCAGTCACAGAAGAAAGCATTAAAAATGAGTTACAAAAACTAAAATCGAAAAACGCTGATGACGTGACAGTTTCTCCAAATTCCGAAACAACCAAAAGAATGAGAATAAAGAATTCTTTGCAAAAAAACGGTGTCTAAACAACGATTGTACCATGATGCTAGATTGTGAAGATGAAAGTCAGGAGGATACATCCGACATTTGCAGCCCCGATGAAATTCTCAAAAAGTAACTATTGCACCGCAATAAAAATAAATAAATATAACTGAAAGTCCTCTCAACTGGTGCAGTGTCAGTCGAAAAGAATTTACAATTTTGCCAATTTTCAAGTTTTTCAAGTTTGTCGCCTCGAGAGAGTAGTTATATAGAGGCGCATGTTTGATTTACGACCCTTCGAAAAGTTTTTATTAAGTACAATGTTCCAATTTTTTAATTTTTTAGTACTAAAAAAACATTCAGTCTTATCATGAGTGTAATTTTCCCCGAACCGGTTCACTTTTCACTTTTGGTTTTCATGTACATATTCTGCCTTATCATGAGTTTTATTTTCCTCGAACCGGTTCACTTTTCACTTTTGGTTTCCATGTATTTACTATGGGCGGAATAAAAATTTTCGAGTGATTTTTTTTTGGGCGAAACTCAGGATAAGGCAGATTTACTATGGGCGGAATACAAATTTTCGGCTGAACTTTTTTTCGGGCAAACCTCAGGATAAGGCAGATTATTAAAAATTATTAACCCTTCCTTTCTTTATTTACCTAAATCACCTAATTTACCCATCCAAATTATTTCTTAAAAATACATGACATCCGCATTCGCATTCGCATCCGCGGATGTTAGCTTTTAAACATCCGCATCCGCATTCGCATACGCGGATGTCTAAAATTCCACATTCGCAACATCCCTGGTACATACTACAATATTCTTATATTGTTTAACTAAATGGAACATATGTATGTAATATATCAGCAAAAAGTACAGCCGTGATCATTTTTTGTGTATCAAATAGATATTAGAACACACTTTCCACCATACAGTTTCGAAATACAAAATCACATTTTCCCGCTTTTTATAATCGAAACTGTATGGTGGAAAGTTTGTTCTAATATCTATTTGATACACAAAAAATGATCACGGCTGTACTTTTTGCTGATGTATTACATACATATGTTCCATTTAGTTAAACAATATAAGAATATTGTAGTAGTATGTACCACAAAAACGTATATTTCCTATAAAAAATCATAACTCAGAAAAAACAAATCTTCGCTATTAGAGATTTGGGTTGATTGTAGTTCAAAGTGTCTCTTTCCCGATAAAAAAGTTTGAGAGAAAAAAAAATACACTTTTTGAGAAATTAAATAAAAAAAAATTTCACCTTTTGTTTATTGTTAAATAAAAAATTTTAAATAATGAAAATCAATAATTATATCATTCTATCTTGAAGTGACAAGAATTACTAACATTTGAGTAAAAACATTGTTGGAATCTATTAAATTTTGACAAAGTTATGGGCATTTAAAAAAAAAATTCTCACTGTCAATTCGAATAATCGATTTTTGCCTGAAAAACAAAATCGCGTTTAATTCGGCCGAAAAATTTTTCCGAGCCAAAAGAAAAAATACGTGTCTCATTATTTGGACCAACAAACAATGTATTTGAGTTTGGTCGAAATTAAAAATCATGCTCGTACCTGACCGGTTGTCTGGAAATGGAAAGCATCTACGGTTTATAGAGAATTTTATTTGCTTTTATTTCCCGTATCCTGTATTACGATTGTTCAATTGGTTCGTAAGACATACGTGATTAAGTAAACCACTATTTTTTAAAGCTGAATAACCGTAAATTGCATATATCTCGAAAAGTTATCCATAAAAAAAAATTATCTCGATTTTCGGGACCACCGAGAAATTTTAAATGGGAATTGGATAGTGGGATCCATAGAACATTTTTGCTGTAAACCAGTGTAATATAGAGATGTAACTCAAAATTTACGTTTTTGGAGATTTCATCATACAATTAATAAGCTTGATAAGGAAGGAGATTTTGTTCAGCCTAACAGATGACTTAACATCCCAAAAATGGCTAAGAAATGTGACTTTCCATCTGTCTTTTGGTATACCAACTGTATGAGTTGAACAAAGTTTGATTGCGATTTCCCACAAAATTGAAATTTTGAAATAATTCTGTATATTAAGTGTAAAAAGGGTATGCATATTAAACGAAACCTATATATACCTATGTTACTCGACACGCTAAATGGGAATCCGAGGTCCGTTAGCCTTCATCAAGTCAGGTTCGTGGTCATTTGAAGGTTAAGTAGGGAAAAATTCTTGAATAATCCTGGAGATTCATTTATATGGGGCTTTACACTCGCTGAACCCAAATCCGAGGTCCGTTAGCCACCATCACGTCAAGTTCGTGGCCATTTGAAGGTCGAGTAGGGCAAAATTAAATAAACCTAATGAAATAATGAGTTGTCAAATGAAAATGCGCAAAGACTTTTTGTATGAAATATGAGCAGAAAAGCGTGTTACTCAGGTGTACGAGTAACTTTCTTTCCTGCCCATTTTTCATACAAAAAATCTTTGCGTATTTTCATTTGACCACTCATTATTTCTTATTTATTCATCGATTTTCTTCGTTAGTAATTTTTTTTTTTTTTTTTTTTAAAGAACAGGCTTTAGCACAAATGCAAAAACCTGTTATTTTTTTAATTTTTCTTCTGTTAAAGTTTAATTTTTTCATTAAAAAAAAAATGGAATGATTAATTAATTTTTCAGAAAGTATAAGTCCTATCAGAAAGTGATGTATATACGGTTTATGGAGAATTTTATTAGTTTTCATTTGCCGTATTTAACATTAAGATTGTTAAATTGGTTCATAAGATATACATGATTAAAAGGAACCAATTTTTGCTTTAAGCAGAATAACGGAAAATTTAAAATATCTTGAAAACGTATCCATAGAAAAAAAATTAACTCCATTTTCGAAATCACGGAGCAATTCTACATAGGAATTGGATAGTGGCATCCACAGAACATTTTTGCTGTAAACCAGTGATATTACAAAAATAAGGCCCATAAATATTAAATTAAAAAAAATATATATAAAAAAATCGAATACTGGCAAAATATTTTGCTGATGTATTTGCGGATACTCAAGCTAAGAAATGCAAATACTTATTGCAATATTCGTTACTTTGTGAAAGTTGAGGGGACCACTTCGGGAATTTTTACTCACATACTTTATAAGTGTATTTTTATTCTATTTCCAATGACACATCAAAATTTGAAATTGGTTCAGAAATGTTTTGAAATCATAAACAAAAAGAAAATGTAAGCTTCGAAAAACTGTTTTTTGACCTTTCGTCAAGTTTTTTAGGGTATATTTGAAATTTGAACTATGCAGTATTTCATTACTCGACCAGGCCCACAACATGTGCTATATGGGAATCCTTGTTTTTTGACATTTTTCAATTTTGTTGAGTGTAATGTCACCATTCCGTATTTGCTTTCATAAACTGTTATAATAACAAAAGAAAAACATAATCAAATATCTAAATAACATAACCGATTATTTTGGCCTATGCTAGCCTCGGCATCGGCCGATTAATAGCTCGGACTCTAGTCGTCATGCTGCTAGTAATCAACTACACTAGAAAAACTCCTTTTATGTATTTTGCTGAAAAAGTAAGAGTGAACATCACTGTCTTTGACATTTCTCTTTTGTTGTGACTTTTGAAATTAATATTTTTAGTGAAAATTGTGATTTGTGCTTATATCTAACAACTTTTAACTGCGGATTGTGATTTCTTGTAAGTTTTCTGCATGATAAAAACATAGTAAGGTAAAACCGTTCTCTCAATTCGCCGGCCATGATTTTTTTTTTGAAGTTTGCCAACATTTTAAAATGATACAAAATTGAGAGTAAAAAAAAGAAATTGTTCAAAGTTGTTGTTGTTTGAGTTTGAAATTGAGAATGTGTGTGTGAGACTGTGTGTAAAATTTTAAAATTAAATTGCTTGCAAACGTCAAGAATTTGAAAAATTCCTCTCAGCGGTTCTACCTTCCTATTTTTTTTATCATGGTTGTCTGGATTGTGGATGCAAATTTAGGTAACAAATTTTAAATATGTATTGCCAATTTGCAAATAAAAACTAATTAAGTTTACCTTCCACATATTTGTGAATTCTGTGTCTTTTACCTCAGCGAGAAGCTGCAAACACAAGTGGAATTTTTGGCTGCAAATTCCAGGTGAGTTTATTCAATCGGCCAAAGTTGTTTTGAAAATGGTCATTAAAAGTGTTTTTTCTCTTGGTTAATAGGTTTTAGAAGTTGACCTCAACTAGAGGCTGCATTACAAGTGCAAGGAGTGAAACGCTTTTAGAACTTAGCTTGTGAATAACATGATATAGTAAAAATGTATTGATATTACGTTTTACACAAATATACGTGTAGAATAGCGACCCCCGGAAAAAAAGGATTGGTGGCGTGGTTCGCCCTTTTTTCCCAATTTTAATGGGACAGGCCAGAATTTAGGGTCAAGAACTAGGAACTGTGGTCCATTAAACCATCGGTTTTGACTCGACATGTTAGGCGTAGTTTGCCACTTTGTGGCGTCGTCGGCAACGTTTTCCGCTGAAGGAACCCATCTCCAGTCTGACATCTCCGTTAGTTCCAAGATTTCGCTCACCCTAAATGCCACGAATGGTGAGTAGCGACGGTGGTCAGCGCGAATCCACGCCAGCACAGTGCGGGAGTCGGTCCAATACGTTTGTCGTCGAATGTTTAGCGTATGCGAAGAGCGTGCCCCTGCAGCCAGTCTAGCTCCTAGGACAGCAGCCTGCAGCTCGAGCCGTGGAACCGAGAGCATCTTTAACGGTGCTACTTTCGCTTTACTTCCTACCAGCCTGCAATTGATGACACTTCCAATGGAGTGACGTAGGTAGCATGTGGCCGCGTAGGCATTTTCGCTGGCGTCAACAAAGACGTGCATTTGCAGCTCGGACTCGTGGCTCCGATCTGTGAAATAGCATCGTGGTATCCTTACGGTCTCCACCTCAGGAAGTAGGCGAACCCATCTCTGCCAGTCGGAGTAATAGTC